CAAGTACAAAGGAACAAATGTACAAACTGAACTTGTAGTTTTAGTACCAACCGGTTGAAGATAGCACTTTATCAATGCAGTACGTACAAATACATATTTTTGCATTCAAGAGAACAGTTCCTTAACATATGAAAATAAAACCAATAACCTAAAGTCTGGAAAATAATCGGCACTTGGCGAGTGAGCTTTCAGCATTCCAACTATGGAAAATGTCCAACAGATGATCACTCAGATGTTTGTCTAGTAGCATCCTGATCCATATTGAAGAGGAGGTAGCATGTCTCAAGTCTGTCTGGACCCATCTTGTGTTCAAACTGGGGCTGAAGATCTTCTAGTGTCAATCCTTTGAGGAACTGGCTGGAAAGTTCGTTGTACAAGGTTGGACCAACGTCATCTAGGGAAAGACCAGATAACTAGATCATGTACCAAAAACAAAATATGTGCGGGGCTTTATATGTGGCCTAATGGGAGTCTGTGGGAGGTTCTTAGCTCCCATAACAGGTCCTGATCCCTAAAGAGATACTGTCACTTTGCCCATTAAGGACAGAGTGACGGCATTTGCTAATAGTCCCCCCTTATCCATACTCACCCAACCATGCTCCTTTGCCATCGTCCAGCTCTGCCTGAGACCTCCGCTTCTCTAACAGATGTGGGGGAGCATGTGACCTCCTCTATGTGACAACTCTCTGACTTGAGTGACCAATTGCCAGACCTGAACTTGGTAATGTGGAATGGGCAGTGGCATCATCATCCTGAGCAGTGTTAAGTGGTTTGGAAAGGGCAATCTAGGGTGAAGTAGGCATAAAAGACAGGACAGTCCCAAGAGAAGAAACAAGCTTAGGCAAAGTTGTCTCGAAAGAGCTAGGAGGCTTGGACAGACTTATCTTTGCACTGATTGCGTCAAAATGTGTATTTTATATCAGTCCAGAGATGAACTTTAAATGTCATGGATCAGAGGTAGGTTAGGTTTAAGGTTAGGCTTGTTGGCACTCTTTAGAGACAGCTTTTGGGCATTGTTTTTCTTCTGGAACGTCTTTCTTGGTAATCGGTCACTAGACCATTGTCCCATACCTATGCACTGCTGGCAGAGCGTCTTCAGAGTCTCCGACAAAGTATGGCCCTCCTCATCTTCTTGGTCATCTTGGAAGCTTTCATTATCAGCAGACACGTCCATCGCTGACCGAGCATTATTCACCATCATTTCCAGAGTGTTTCCTTCAACCTCTTCAAAATCATCGGGATAATCGGGCCCTTCGTCGTCACCAGAACCTACAAATGTGAAATAAAAAACGGGTGACGCAAAGCAAAATGAGATTTATAGTGTATCTCTAGGCAAATCCTAGGGCCTGAAAGTATATGTATACTCAAAACCTTTTCTTACATGTTGGATAGAATGGGGTAGAGTTAGACCTTCCGCCAAGTCTTTAATGGTGTCGGTGTCCCCATTGGGGAGATTCACTCCTCTATTTGTACTGGCGGCCATTGTCACCAAGAAAGAAAATAAGGGGAAATCCAACATTTTTAGAGTTGTCCCCAGAACAAGAGATGAGGGGAAGCGGGGAAATCTTCCAATTCTGAGGGCAATTGTGTGCACCCGGAGACCGGGCGTAATGCTCCCCGCATCGCCGAGCCCGACGGCTGCTGCTTCGCTGTGTCTGCTCTTCCCTTCATCCAAAGCCCAGCAGAAAGAGGCACACACGTGTATTGGACTGCCTCTTAAAGGGACAGTGCACGCCTCTTCAAGCAAGTGTTAAGCCCCTGGAAATTATGTCATCTCAACGCCAACAGGTGTATAAGCAGGAAGGGTAAGTGATTCTGTGTTTAGTTATTGTTAAGCTTATCCTTTCAGTGCCTAGCGTTATACCTGTTCAAATTCCTGTTACTTACCCCTGGCCCGTTCTGTAACCCCGATACTTTGCTGCCTGCCCCGACCTCTGCTACGTTCTACGACTTCGATTCCGGATTCGGATTCTGCTACCGTGCTCTTGGTCTGCCCCTGTACTGGCTACCACTAAGCAGGAGATTGTGCGTTATCCTAGACTACTTGAGTAGCGGTACCAATCGTACTGGCAAGTCCCCCGCGTCTGGGCTCCTACCATCACCAACCTGATACCAACGGAGATTGTTCTGATGACAACTGTTTAAGAGGGTAATTTCTCTCACTTTGCGAGATTTATTCTAACTTCCTGTCTCTGAAACAGGAAATGAAGGGAAATTCCCCAATGGTACACGGACAGCAAGAAAAAAAAACACTGGGTGAAGTGGACACTTCACTTTGGCTGTTTAGCAGTGGGATCTAGGAGACTGCAGGGGTGTGATCACTCCCTTTATTTGGGAACCTCGAGGAACATGGATGGTGGGCTTAGTTCAGAAAAAAAAAGCCTTCATAAGGTTTTTCTTTTTAGAAAGAGCTGAATGGGTTAGAAGGGGATAGGAGGGAGTGACATTAGCGGGAATATCTTTGCCCGGAGATTTAAACTTCTTCTTTTACAGGGTGCCCTGATTTTATATTTTAGAATGGGGCAACAGAGCTGCTTGAGGCCCCGTTCACATTGAGCGATTTATCGCGCGGTAATTCCCGCGATATCGCGGCTATTTACCGCGCGATATCGCTCTTCAATGCATCTCAATGGGGCAAAGGGTCCTGCTGTCGCGGGTCGTGTGTCGCTACAGCAGGACCCTTTTTGGAGCGTATTTTGGCGCGATTCTCACTTGCTCAATGCAAGCATTTGCGCGATATCGCGTGACAAAACGCGCGATAACGCGCAAAATGCAAATCGCGCGACAAACGCACGATTTGCAAACCGCTCAATGTGAACGGGGTCTGAAAGGAGAACTATGAGGTGAGTGCTTTTCACTCACCTCATAGTTCTAGCCGACCTGTGACAATGAGACTGTCACAGGTCGGCTCAGTAAATCGGCTCTCTGCCGTGACAGGGGAGGGGAGGAGCTGTAGCTCGCGGTATACTGAGCTTAGGGTGATGGGAGGACGCTAGTTTGTGTCCTCCCGTTACCCTAAGGAGAACTATGGGGAAAAGCCCTGACCCCATAGTGCTCCTTTAAAATGTTTGTATTAGCCATCAAATACTAGAACCTGGTTTCAATAGTAGTTCTGAAAATAATTCCCAATGGCACATAAAGTCACCCAACCGGCTATATTACAATACAGAGCCACATTGGAGGCTTACCAAGTTCCTCTGGAATCTCTTCATTCGGACACCCCATGCAAGTTTCTTCTTCCAGGTCTTCCTCAACAGAGGCCAGACTGTCTTTGTCAAAGTCCTCAGAGTAGTCGGATCCGTCTGCAGTGCCCGATAATTCCTCGGGATCCCACAATTCACAAGATCCAACGATCAGCCTGTGAGAGCTCGGCGGGGCAGATTTAGACCTAAAGTCTTCTTTGGAGACATCACGACTTGCCATGGATGTTTTGCTCCGATTTTCCGACGCGCCAACGTCGCCATTTTCTTTCTTCACCAAATTTTGCTTATACAAATGAAATTCGTGCTTCTGTATAAATTGTTTCAAATGTTCCTGAACGAAGGCTGAACTTAAAATGCTATTTGCGCTCGGCCTGGATTCGGGGCATTTGTCCAGAATGGTTTCGACCAACAGATGTAAATCGGCAGAGTAGCTGTCCGCCAGCGGGGGAGAGTTCTCGTAAACAATTTTGTAAAACAGGCTTAATAGGTTTGTCGCGTCGAAGGCTGGTTTCAAGGCGCACATTTCGTAAAGTAAACATCCCAGAGCCCAAATGTCCGATTTGGAACTGTACGGAACGTCTTGACACATCTCCGGACTGAGATAATAGGGCGTTCCCACGCACGTGCTTGCCATATCCGTAGTGTTGGACATAATCTTGGAGATGCCGAAATCCCCGAGCCGGATCATTCCCTTTTTGGTAAGGAAGACGTTTGAAGTTTTGATATCTCTGTGAAGAATTTTCAAGGAATGGATATACTGAATGGCCATGGTCAACTGGATAAACCAGTCCATGATGGTGTCTTCTGGGAAGAGGACACCTTTCCGTTGCTTGATGTGATCATCTAATGTCCCTCCATCACAGTAATCTTGGACGATAAAAACATACTCGTCCTCCAGATCGCAGAAGTATTCATGGCACACCACAACGTTCGGGTGGATAAGTTTGCCCATGATAACTGCTTCGTGGAGTATGGAGTCTTTAGTTCTGGTACGCTTACTCGCATCTACTTTGATTTTCTTCACAGCATACGTTTTCCTGGTCTCTGTGTTCCTCATGAGAAAAACTTCAGCTGTTGCTCCTCTGCCAATTTTTAATATCATCTCATACTTCTCCATGGCGTGTCATGTATCTGCATCTGGAGCACAAACATATTATGTTATAATTAGCATATTGTACATGGTTCAACTACCAACATGGCCAAAATTGGTGTATACCTGGCCTACCATCTAACTACATGGCCAAAATTGGTGTATACCTGGCCTACCATCTAACTACATGGCCAAAATTGGTGTATACCTGGCCTACCATCTACCTACATGGCCAAAATTGGTGTATACCTGGCCTACCATCTACTTACATGGCCAAAATTGGTGTATACCTGGCCTACCATCTACCTACATGGCCAAAATTGGTGTATACCTGGCCTACCATCTACCTACATGGCCAAAATTGGTGTATACCTGGCCTACCATCTAAAATGTCATACAAACGCGCCAGAGACAATCATTCCTCAAAGGGATGTGGTAATATGCACGTATAGGACGTAGCCCCACTACAGTCAGGGAGACTGGGACATCTGGACGGAAGCACAAAGAGAAGGGCGCCTTTCCTGGTGCAGATGAGTTCATTCAATAACAGGTAAAAACGAACATGGAGGTACTCAGAAGAGTAGGATGTAAACAAGCCGTAGGACAATGAATGAAACGGAGCAATAAGGAGATCCGTATGGCATGTTCTGTGTGCCGGTGTGTAAGATGTCGACACGTTTCCGGGGCACTCCCCCTTCTTCAGAACATCTGTTCATCTGCCCTGGTGATGTTCTGAAGAAGGGCGCGTGCCCCGGAAACGCTTTGACATCTTACACACCGGCACAGAGGACATGCCATACGGATCTCCTTATTGCTCCGTTTCATTCATTGTCCTACTCTTCTGAGTACCTCCATGTTAGTTTTTACCCGTTATTGAATGAACTCATCTGCACCAGGAAAGGCGCCCTTCTCTTTGTGCTTCCTTCCAGATGGCCTACCGTCTACCTACTGGCAAAAAGTGGTGTACACTTGGACATTATACCTACCAATATGGCCAAAATTGGTGTACACTTGGACATTACACCTACCAACATGGCCAAAATTGGTGTACACTTGGACATCACACCTACCTATATGGCCAAAAATATGTGGAAACCGCTCCAAGTGAACGAATTCAGGTGTTTCTAGTAAGTGGGGGGTTGACTTGATGCGTTGGGGTGCCAAAATAAATGAGTACCACACTGTTTTGGTTACTCATGTTTAGAGCTGCAGCTAACGATTATTTTCAAAATCGATTAGATAGCCGATTATTACGTTCGATTAATCGGTTAATCGGATAAAAAATAAAATACATTTTAAAAAATGGCTCCAGTGATGGGACTACTAGTTTGTATTGAGATTGCAGTCCATCACAGGAGCAAACTTGAAGCGGTGGAAGTAAAAAAGAAAAAAAAAAAGTGTGGGTAACAATATAGTGAAATGAAAAGTGAAAAAAATTATACAGCAATGAATGCAGAATGGCATCGGCTAAAGAGGACTCCAAAATCCAGCAATAGTACATTATACAGCACAATGCAGAATACCACCAGCTAGAGGACTACAAATCCCAGCAACAGTACATTATAGCTGGTGGTATTCTGCATTGCGCTGTATAATGTACTATTGCTGGGTTTTGTAGTCCTCTATAGCTGGTGGTATTCTGCATTGTGCTGTATAATGTATTATTCCTTGATTTGTAATTCTCTCTACACCTGCTCCTCCTTACTTCTTCTCACCGCGTCCCTGTGCCGATCATGGATGTGGACTGGCGGTGAGCGTGAAGCGGGGAGGAGGTGTGGAGCGTGGATGCGGGCGGGTCTGGCGGCGGCGAGCGTGAGGTGGGGACGAGGTGTGGCACGCAGCGTGTGTGGAGCCGTGAACAGGGCCAACCAATCAGAAGCCGATTAATCGATGATTGAAAAAGTTGACAACTTTTACAATCATCGATTATAATCGATTATGTCGATTAGTTGTTGCAGCCCTACTCATGTTGCAGGGCAATAGTCTTGAATGGGCCTTTAAAGTACAGTAGGTGTAAACCCAATCACTTAAAACCCCACATAAGCTTTAACATGTAAGTTCTATAGATATTTTTAGATATAAAATATTCAGGTATTCACTCACTGCCGTTCGGCCCCTAGGTGAATAGGGACGAACGGCAGCGAGTGAGCTGCCGGAGCCTCGGCTCAGCCGATCCAGATGTTGGATCGGCTGAGTCGAAGTGCCTCTGCACTTTGGCTCAGCTGAACATGCAGAGCATGTTCGGCTGACCGAAGGCAGCCGATGTACGGCTAAAATCAGCCGCACTGAGCCGGAGTGAATAGACGAACGTCATTCGGCTCTGTTTACTTCGGCCTCGGCCATTCACTCGGCTGCCTTTGGCAGCTTAGTGAATAACCCTGTAAGTATTTTATGGAAAATGTGTGAGAATTATTTATGATACACGATGCTTAAGCAAACTAAATGTCATCCAGCGAAGGGGTTATATCTGTCCCTAGATGTTTTTTTTCTTCAAGTGAACCTCATGAGACTAATTTACTAATGATCAACCGACAATCACCTGCAGTGGCACAAAAGGGCAATTTTTGCTCTAGGACGTCTTTCCGAGGTTGAAGGTCGCCCGTGTTGCCCAAAGCTCACTCAGTAGACCAAGAGCTACAGAAGAACAATTGGTCTGCTCTTTAAAGGAGAACTATGAGGGGGGGGGGGGGGGGCTTTTTACCCCCCC